TTGAGAGCCTACTGGCACCACTGTCACCACTGATGTCCTGCTGGGGTCCTCTGTGTCTGTGGGGAGGGGGTCCTTGGGAGAAGGGGGTCCTGTACGGAGTGTGGTGGGTGTATGTTGTCCCAAGTCTCCGCTCCTCTGATTGCTCAGAGCACTGCTGCTGTTTTCCTGGGGTGGCCTGGGAAATGTGTTGCGTTTGTCCTTCCCATTGCCAAGTTTCTGGCCTGTTTTCTTTGTCTTACTGCTGTCCCCTTTCCAGCCCGGCCGCTGCCCCTCAGTCCGTTGAGAAATTTTCTCTGCTGTGAGGTCAGGCTCTATGTTTTCCCCATCTTGCCCTTTTTTCCTCTTCCCTGGGGCCCAGCCTGAGCAGGACATCATCACCTGTCCTGGGGACTCAAGATTGGAGCAGAGTTATCCCCGGTTTCCTGTCACCCCTTTGAAGGGCAGGTGCCCTGCCTGGCCCTTGAGAAGGACATGGGGGGGGGGGGTTGTCGCAGGCAGGGCCCTTAGAATTGTAATCTGAGGTCCCATGCAGCCACCAGAGCTTCTACAAGCAAGTCTGGCTGCCTTCTCTGTAACCCTGTCAGTGAAAATAGGGCAGCCCTGGTCTCTGCTGAAGGTCTTGCCATCTGCTGGAGCCGAATTTATTTAGGTGTTCCCCTTCCCACTCCTACCCCCATCATGCTGTGTTGTAAGGCTGGTCTCAAATTTCCCAGATCAAGTGACCCTCCTGCCTCAGCCTTTTGAGTGCTAGAATTACAGAACATTCCACCATGCCTGGCTTGCTATTTTTTTTTTTCTAAAATTATTCTTGTAGCCTATCTGTCATATCTTGATTTTATTGACTACATAGCAACAGAAATAAGCCATAAGCTGAGACATCTGGGGTCTACTCCACACTGGCAAAGCTGATTGGACAGTCTAAGAACCCAGCATTTCTGGGCCTTGTTTCCTACCAGGAATGTGAGTGACTCAGCCACCCACTTTACATGGTCTCTTCTACTCTGAAATTTAAAAATTTTAATAAAAGGCTCAGGATTTTTAATTTTAATTAGAGTGCAGAAAGTCTTAAGTTATCAGTACTCTTGCCCTATACTTTTTCTTTGCGGAACCGGGAATTGAACTCAGGCCCTTGTGCTTGCCAGGGAAGCGCCTATTCCACTGAGCCATCTCCCTGGCCCCCTGCATTTTTCTAAAACCTTGCAAGCATTCTTGAGGCCTGAAGATGAGAAACAAAGGAGTCAGGATATTCTGTAAAAGTTGTGTCATCCTGAATCATTGTTTAAAAATTAGGGAGTTTCCACCTGGCGTGGTGGTGCACACCTGTGATCTAGCACTCCGCAAGTTGAGGCAGGAGCTCGAGTTTGAGGGCAACCTTAGCTGTCCCCTGCCCACTGCTCCCGGCTCTCATCAGCCACAGACACTGTCTAGAAAGGCTGGGGTGGGGGGAAGTGTGCTCTTCTCTCTCTCTCTCAAGCCTGGCTCAGACAGCAGTCCTCCAGAGCCGGCACATGTCCGCCGGCTGCCTGTGGTTCAAATCCAGCATTTAATTGCAGAGAACACCCTGTGAGTGACGCGAGTGTAGAGGAGGAGGCTACAGGCTGGTGTGTGTGTTTCCCCAGTGAGTGGGTGGGCACAGCTGCTGTGCCAGCAGAGCTGGGTGTACACTGCATGGGGAGCCCCTGAGTGCCTGGCAAGCTGAGAAGAAGCATGTCTGGGAACTGGGTTTTTTCCTGTACTGGCTATTGGATGCAGTGCCTTTGCCCTAAGCTACATCCCCAGCCCTTTATTTTATTCATTTCGAAGCAGTTCTGGTGTGTTAGATCATGGAGTTGCCCAGGATGGGCTTGAACTTGCAGTCCACCCACCTCAGCCCTTGAGAATGCTGGGAAGCCAGGCAGGGCTGCTCCAGTTTCCTGTCCAGGACCCAGCAAGGCTCCAGCCAGCGGAGAGAGCTAGCCTTGGCCAGGCAGGTGAAGGAAGACCTGGCTCTGTGTGGGTAATACCTGTGCTTCCCTAAGCCATGGCCGTAGAGCTTGAGAAACAAAAACAAAAAGCTATGATACGTGTCTCTGTCCTACCATCCTGTGGGGGGAGGGGCTGCCGCTGTTCACACCCTGGGGTTCGGGTGTAGGTGAGTGACCGCACCGGTCTGGGCTGCTGGGAGGAGACATCTTAGGCAGGGGTTAGGCAGGTACGGGGAGGTGCCCCTGTGTTTCTGCAGTCATCATGGCTCTGTGGGAGGATGGCAAGACCTGGAAGTGAGTTCCAGGCTGTAGGCTGCTTGGGGCTGACAGTGGTTATTGCTGAGGAGCCTCCATCTGCCTGGAGTCAGGACAGTGCCACCCATGCTCAGTCTCTGTCAGCAGTTGGGGCCTCTGGGAACAAAGGCTCAGCAGCAAGAGTGGGGCGGTCACCATGTGGTTGCTGTGTTGTGGTCATGGTTAGAGTTGGTGCCTGACCATCAGGAGGCCTGACCATTGGGTAGGGCGGCACCAACTTCATCCAGACTGCATCTTTGGGAAGAGCTGGGAATGGCAGGGGCCCTGGGATGTGGACCTCTAGGATGTGCCCTGGGGACTCAATGGTCCTGGCCCACTCCTGGGCTCTGGGCTCTACCCTGGTGATCCTATGCGCTGAGGCTGGGTCTGTCTAGTCTCGTAGCATTGCCCTGGTGCAGCTAGCTGCAAGGTGACCAGGGAACAAAACCCATGACCCTGGAGGTGGGAGTTCTCAGATCAGGCTTGGGTGGGGGTCTCTTCCCATGGTGCTGTCCTGGTTGCTGACAGTGTGCTGGAAAATTGGAGCTCTCCTTGGCATAACTCTGGTTCTGGAGACACTGTCCAGTCTGCTGAGTCACTGTTTCAGTGTGGAGCAGGGCCTCTCCTCAGCTGCGCTCCCCACCCTTCCAATTGTGTGTGGCAACCCCAGAGCAGCTGTTGGGAGGGTGTGTGTCCCCTCAGTCCTGTCTGGTGCTGTTCTGGAGGGTCCCTTATCCACCAAGTTGCAGTTTGTGCGAAGAGCAGTTCTTTCTCACGGCAGTGGCGTTTGGTGAATGATGATGCTTTGTCAGCAGATCAGCCGCTCAGGAGAGAACCTAGTCTTATGTGTAGAGAAGTAAACTTTAACATGTGTGTGCCAGAAGTTATAAACTTGACAGCTTTGACAGGAATTATACGCATTCAGGCATGAAGATGGGTGCGAACACTTTCAGATAGATGAGAAATGTAAAAGTTTGGAAACCCTGGAACCTTTGAAAAAAACCGTTGGTTTTCTAAGGATATTTGGTAGGGAACAGGTACAAGATGTATACAATAGGAAAAATTGTATACATTAAAACTGAGGCCTCATGTTTATTTTATTTATTTGTTTATTTATTTATTTACTTTTGCGGAACCAGGGATTGAACTCAGGCCCTTGCAGTTGCTAGGGAAGCGCTTATTCCACTGAGCCATCTCCCCGGCCCCTATGTTTAATTAATTTATTTATTTATTTATTTATTTTTGAGGTAGAGTTGTTTTGTAGTCCAGGACAGCTATGAATGTGCTAGATATCTAGGGCAGGCCTTGAACTCATGATCCTCTTGCCTCAGCTTCCCAGTTCTGGGGTTGCAGACTAACGCCCCGAACCTGGCTACAAATAACTTTTAAGCTTCGTTCAGCTTACTGTAGAGCCCTGCCAACCCCATCCTGGTCATTTTCCTTCTTTCTCAAGGTAATTGGTATCATGAGTTTGCTGTTTGTCTCATTTGTTGTGTGTTTTTGCTGCATATGTATGCTGCTATAAAATAGAATTGTTTTGCATGTTTTGGAACCTGATTTAACTAGTTTTAGCATCCATATTTCAGTTTGCATTTGATTTTAGCTTAATGTATTTTTGGAGAGTTTAGCCTTTTCTATTCATTTTTACTGTCATATTGTATTCTAGCATGCAGTTTATTTCACTTTGAAAGTTTAGGTTATTTCATAAGTTTTGCAGTTATGAAAGAATGGAGGCAGATGTGGTGGCACATGCCTGTAATCTCAACATTCAGGAGGCTGAGGTAGGAAGATTGCTGCAAGTTTGAGGCCATCCTGGGCTACAAAGTGAATTCATTCGAGGTCAGCCTGAACTGCATAGTGATAGCCTTCTCCTCCTTCCAGAGAGAGGGAAAGGGAGGAAGGAAAGGAAGGGGAGAGGAGGGGAGGAAGAAAGTGATACTTGCTTGTTTATTTTGCAAGCATTTCTCTAGGGAGCTTACCCAGGAGAAAATTGTTGAGGTGTGCCATTCATTAATTCATTCATTCACAACATATGTTCATGCCTGATTCCTCTGAAGTTCTTTCATTAATCTATACCCTAACCAATACTGCGTGAAAGTTCCCATTTTTCTTTTCCATTGATCTTTCTGACAGGTGACACGAAACATCTTTCCTTGGTTATCTGTTGCGTTCAATTGTCAGTCCAGGCTCATGTTCAGCAGAGGGGGTCCTACATGTAGCATTGGGCGTGGTCTCGTTGAAAGAAAGTGCTGAGAAGCTTTCTATAGGTTCTTTTAGGGGGAGTGTCCCAGTGTCCCAGCCTTCAGACTCTGGAGAGTTTTGCAAAGTTAGGAAGTTGCCCATACGTGTTGGTTTGGCACAGTGTCAGTCGGAGCGTGGGGTGTGAGCACACTGTGCTGGCGAGGGGCACCTGTCCTCAGCCACATGCATTCGCACCCGCGGGCGCCTTGCCCGCACTGCCAGACGGACCTGACTCCTGCAGTGCTGACCTCCTTTCTCTCCCACAGGGCGTAGCAGAGTAAGATGGACGGTAGCTTCGACTGTGATTGTGGTGAGCTGGAGCCGCCTGATCACTGACGAAGGCCACCTGCTGCCACCAACAGCCAGGGCTTCTCGTCAGAGCAGACAGCGACCCGGGAAGGACGGAGCCGCCGGACAGCACTTCCGGCTCCTCGAACATGCTGCTCAGGGCCAGTCCAGCACTGAATGTACCTGCACTGTGAGGAGATGCCCCAATGCCGGGCGTGCGCATATTTATTCACACTTCTGTTAAGTGTTCAGTCGTTAGCATGGTAGATCTGAGTGCATAGTATGTCATTTCATTACGTTTGAGTTTCCTGAGTGTTTTCTTTAAATGTCTGCAGAGTTGCTGCCCCTTTCTTGAACTATGATTACCGCAATCTCTTTCAATCCTCAACATGAGTAGGGCTTTGTGAGCTTTCAACCCACAGGAACTCTCGGGCCTGGTAGGCACAGGTGATGAATGTCAGGAAGCCATCGTGTAGGAAGGCGTGAACCTTTCTCTCCTCCCTTGTGAGAGCTCTTTTCCTTGCAGGCCAGTTTCTCCCTTGTTTACACAAGTTCACTAGTTGGAAAGGAAAAGGCAATAGTAAGAGTTTCACTATGGCAGAGAAGTTTGAAAGTCTCATGAACATTCATGGTTTTGATCTGGGCTCTCGGTATATGGACTTAAAACCATTGGGCTGCGGAGGCAATGGCTTGGTTTTTTCTGCTGTAGACAATGACTGTGACAAAAGAGTGGCTATCAAGAAGATTGTCCTTACCGATCCGCAGAGCGTCAAACACGCTCTCCGGGAAATCAAAATCATCCGACGGCTTGACCACGACAACATAGTGAAGGTGTTTGAGATCCTGGGCCCTAGCGGCAGCCGGCTGGCTGACGATGTGGGCTCGCTCACAGAGCTGAGCAGCGTGTACATTGTGCAGGAGTACATGGAGACAGACCTGGCCAATGTGCTGGAGCAGGGGCCCCTGCTGGAGGAGCACTCGCGCCTACTCATGTACCAGCTGCTGCGTGGCCTCAAGTACATCCACTCGGCCAATGTGCTGCACAGGGACCTCAAGCCGGCCAACCTCTTCATCAATACAGAAGACTTGGTGCTGAAGATCGGGGACTTTGGACTTGCCCGCATCATGGACCCACACTACTCGCACAAGGTAGGTATGGGCCACGAGATGCCTGGACCCACTTCTGGGGTCTGCCCTCATTCTGTCCTCCCTATGCTTAGTGTGAAGTGGGCAGGAGACAGCTTCCCTCTAAATCCGGAAGTACAGGTGGTATCGTGGGGCAAAGGTTTGGGTACCAAAGGTCAGTTAGTTACTGTGCTCAGGATGTCCTTATTTCCAAGTGGAGTATGTTTTTATCCATTCAGGCAAAAGTGTGGTCCTGCTTCAGTTCATAGGCCTCCTGTGTCCTTTGATGAGGTCCTTCTGTACTATGGCTAGGTTTTATGTGAACAAACGAACTTGGGTTTGAGATCAAGATCACATAGCTCGGGGGGCCGGGGGAGATGGTTCAGTGGAATAAGCACTTCCCTGGCAAGTGCAAGGGCCTAAGTTCGATCCCCGATTCCACCAAAAAAAAAAGATGTTTATGGCCAGGGAGATGGCTCAGTGGAATAAGCGCTTCACTGGCAAGCTCAAGAGCCTGAGTTCAATCCCTGGTTTTGCCCCCCCCCCCAAAAAAAAAAGATCACATAGCTTGTTGGCAGTTAAGTACCGATAGCCACAAGGTTCCTAGCACCTCTCCTCTTGGTGGCACCTTGCTTTTGCGTAAGAATAGAAGTGTTGGGGCTGGGGAGATGCTCAGTAGAACAAGCACTTCCCTGGCAAGTGCAAGGGCCTAAATTCAATCCCCGGTTCCACAAAAAAAAAAAAAAAAAAAAGAAGAAGAAGAAGTGTTATCCAAACCAGACCCTGGTCTTTTGAGTTTTCAGCTGAAATCTTAGGTGGCGCTGGGAGGCCTACTTGCTTGGACTTCGTCAGCACTTAGCAGAAGCAAGTTGTTACAAGTATTGTCTCACAGTAGGGAGGTCTTTGGTTTTTATATGAAAAACAGAATGGAGTGCTGAACAGAGGGGAAATCCCATGGCCTCTGCACTGGTAATAGTGAAGTACTGTGAAGGGACAGCCAGCGAGTCATTCCCAGACTGCAAGGTCCCGCAGACCTGCAGTGCACAAGCCCATGCTTGGCATCGAGCAGAGGGTGGGATGAGGCGGCACAAGTATGCTTGTCCCCTGCTCTGTGGATGCCCCTGGAAGTGGTACACTGGTGCTGGGGGTGCCTGGCACTGCGACTGGAAGCGTATCTGCTGCTTCATCTCATCAGGACCGGGGCTAGGTCGTACCTTCCTGCCCCATCCCACCTGGCCTGTGGCCTTTGGGAAGCACTGGGCTCCTACGCGCATTTCCTGCTTGTTGCATGGATCATCTGTCTCGGGGGTAGTGTAGGAATCTTGAAAATGGGCTTAGAAAGCAGCAATATTGCTTTATGATTCCAAAATTTGTTTTCTGGCCTTGGTTCTTGAGCTAAAGCAAACAAAAGAATGACAGCCCATTTTTTTCTCTTTAGGGTCATCTTTCTGAAGGACTGGTCACTAAATGGTACAGATCTCCACGTCTCTTGCTGTCCCCTAACAACTACACTAAAGCCATTGACATGTGGGCTGCAGGCTGCATCTTCGCTGAAATGCTGACTGGCAAAACCCTCTTTGCAGGTGTGTATCATGTAGAGAAGAATTGTCTGGAGAGAAACAACTTTGTGTTTGTGTAGAAAAGAAGGCTTATATAAGATTTAAAACAACTTGTAGTCTGGTATCAGCATGAAAAGTGGAAACAGTACTTTCATTGTTTAAAAAGTCAGGAAGCTTCGGCATGTAGTCGCTAAAGGGGCTGCTTCCTAAGTGTGCTTAGAGTGCAGCGCCTCTCCCTCCGAAGTCTCATTGCAGTCTCCATAGACCCACTGTCCACGTTGGGCATCTGTGTGTGAGCGACACCTGTGCTGTGGTCATTTCAAATTGTTAGGTTATCTTTCTGCCTTATCTTTCTTTTTTTGAGGGCGGGGTCTCACTTTGTAGACCAGGCTCATCTCAAATTCACGGTGATCCTTTTGCCTCCGCCTCCCAGATGCTGGGACTTTTCAGTTGTTGGAAATACAGTAAATTTCTCTGAGTCTTTTCTTCACAAAGTTGCAGACTGAAAGGCCAGGTCAGTAGTAGCTGGAAGGGAAGCAGAGGACAGCAGAGTTGCCACTGTGGGAAGAGAGAAGTGTTGTGCACAGAGGTGAAGGCAGGTGCTCAGGACAGTTGGATGAAAACAAAGGTCATAATTAGGATAGTTGTGGGCCATGAATTGGAGCTAGAATTCATGGAAAGTTTCTTAAAAGTAGGCAGAGGGGTCCATAGTGGGAAAAGCAGAGGTCTGAAGATGATGAGATCAGGTGCGGACTCCAATTTGCTCTTTTTCTTTGCATATCGCTCTGTCACTTGCCTGCAGGTTGCCAGTCTTCTTGCTACTCCCTGGGCTAAGTGGAAAGAAGGTTAATAAAAACTGTGTGTGTGTGTGTGTGTGTGTGTGTGTGTGTGTGTGCATGCACACGCACGTTCAGCCAAGTGTAATGGTGTATGCCTGTAATACCTGCACTCAGGAGGCTGAGGCAGGAGGATAGGTTCAAGTTTGAGTCCAGCTTGGTTGCATAGTGGGACCCTGCTACAAAAACTGAAAAACTAGTGTCACAGCAATGCCTATGGGGAGGCTGCATACACTGTGCCAGAGGGACCAAGTGGCATTGACTGCTTCTTTATAATTTCCCTGTGTATGTGACATTTTGTGGAGAACTACCTGGCGGCTCTTCTTGAAGCAGAGCATTTGGCCCTAGCTCCATGCTGCTATGTACAGAGCTGGCCGCTGGGGTATTTCTCCATCCCCTCAGTTGGCCTG